CCGTACCTTCAGGTTAAATAGTGAAGCAGCAATAGGCAATCTCACAAATGCACTTCACAATATAAACTGGGAATCTGAATTCAATAATACACAGGATATATACTCATTACCCATCATTTTCCTTTCCAAAACTCTAAGCCTCTAGAACACACACTGTCCTCTCCTCACCAAGCAAGTAACTGCCTAAAGATTAAACAACCACTGGCTCACAAGTGGCATATTCAAAGCATTTTCCTCTAGCATACTTCATTCTTAGCTTCAGCTCTCTGTGTGTAAGGCAGTAGACACGTTTGCCTGTGGATATGTCGTGCTTTGATCAAGCACAGTTTTGTGTTAGAAGAGGTACGAAACATTAGCTTTTATCTCTCTCTCTCTCTCTCTTTCTCTCTCTCTCTCTCTCTCTCTCTCTCTCTCTCTCTCTCTCTCTCTCTCTCTCTCTCTCTCTCTCTCTCTCTCTCTCTCTTTGCCTCCTTTTTGCAATATTATCACATGACATATTGGCCTTCGGAAGGTATCTGAATTTACAGCTTCTTTCATGATCAAGTTCACGACAGAATTCGGATACGTCAATACACGTTACTTGCATCATTCACAGTCTGTCATCCTCTGCCGGAAAACACAGTTACGTTGGGTCGTCTTGTTACTGCAGCGTCAAAGGTAGCAAGGCCAGCACCTTAGGAGCAAATATTTGCGGGTGTGAAATCGAACTTAATCAACCGTCAGCCTTGATGATTGATCTTGGTTGACTGTCGTGTATTTTAGTGTATTTGTATAAGTTGTGGTGTATATTTTGGTTCAGTAAGCATACACGTATTTAGCATATAAAACCGATGTAAACTCCAACTATTTAAATTATAAAAAAGGTAGAGAGATTTAAATGTGCCGGGCTCATTTCAAATACTTCCACGGGCTCGCCGGGTGGGGGGGAGCCCGGTAAGGCTACCCCGAGTGCTGCATATTGTCTTCTTCGAGGGCTGAGGGTCCCTACAAACACAACCAGAGGTGGTACCCCAATATATAAATATATATAATTTTGGGGCAATGGAGGTGACTTGAACCAGCGTTTTGGTGATTCCCAGACAACTGTCTCAACACACTTGCCACAAAAGGACAACCAACCAACCTGGAGCCAGATTCACGAAGCAGCTACGCAAGTACTGACGAACCTGTACATCTTTTCTCAATCTTTGGCGGCTTTGTTAACAATTATTAAACAGTTAATGAGCACCGAGGCACCAGGAGGCTGTTTATAACAATAACAACAGTTGATTGGAAAGTTTTCATGCTTGTAAACTATTTAATAAATGTAACCAAAACCGTCGAAGATTGAGGAAAGATGTACACATTCGTAAGTACTTGCGTAACTGCTTCGTGAATCTGGCCCCTGGAACTCTATTGAATTCAGTGGCAGGTTCTGGAGGCCCGAAGCAGAGCTGAACTGTGGGAAAGACCTCGTGTGTATGAAAAATTAAAAATTCAAATGTTTATTCAGGTAAAGTACATACATACAAAGGATAATACAAATATTGATAAATTTATAGATAGAGCTAGTAAATACAATGCCTAAAGCCACTATTACGCAAAGCGTTTCGGGCAGGAAAAACACCACTAAAGGCTAAAACTTAATACATGAAACTCGTATTAAAAAGCAATAAACCCACACCTAACAAAGCAACGTATTAAGCAATAAAAATTTTAAGGGGCAATAAAGCCTGGAAGTAGAGACATTAGCAAGTAGACAAGCAACTTTCTTGCTTTTCGTTTCTCGATAGAATAATCGTAAATATATATACAGACAGGTTTCCGTTTCAGTATCAAACCATCAAGTCTTAACTCGCTCGTAAAATATTTAATGCGGAATCGAATATGTCTTAGGGACATGATAATTCTCCCAGGAGAGTCAGAGAACCGCTGCAGAGATGCACGTCCATGTCTGGGGCTGCATATTCAAGAGCGGTCTCACGTACGTGATATATTACGCCCGGAAGGTGAGTGTGTACAAGATTATAAAAGTGAGTAGCATAGTATATGCTGTGGATATTATTATGTTAATATGTGCTTCTGGCTTACATATGGTGATCGTGTGAGCATTCACCAAACAGAATTCTCCTGTGATAATATGTCTAAATTACTTACGAGTGGAGCATTTAAATCAAACGTAATTATTATTATACAACCAATTGTGAATAAAGTTGCTGAACTTGCGTGCTATTTCCTTTACTACACGTACGAATAATTTGCAATATTAATTCTCAATGTAATTATCGGTGTTAAGAATTAATTATTCAATATATACTTCTATGTGCCAATTAATATTAATTTAATGCACTAACTACTCTTACTAAAGCTACAAGTAATCGTATATACAATTTTACAAGAATGCATAAACTCTTGTATATATAAATAAAAAAAATAAAAAAAAAATAAAAAAAAATAAAAAAAAGTTTATACATATTTATAGACATAGATTTTTTGTGGAAAGATTTTCAGTGTTTTTGGTCTGATAATATTTTTTAATTTCACAAATGTGTTTCCTGCTTGACTCTCATAAATACATGCGAGGGAAACACACACACACACACACACACACACACACACACACACACACACACACACACACACACACACACACACACACACACACACACACACACACACACACACACACACACACACACAGGTACAGACACAGGTCCTCGCGGCTGAGTGGACAGCGCTCAGGGGTCGTAGTCCTAACGGTCCGGGAATCGACCGCGGCAGAAACAAATGGGCAAAGTTTCTTTTACCCTGCTACACCTGTTCACCTAGCAGAAAATAGGTACCTGGGCTAGACTGCTTCCTGGGGCTGTGTGTTGGTGTGTGTTAGAGAGAAATATATATAGTACAATTGATTGGGGAAAACACGTTGGGACTCAGTACATTAGACACCCGACGGTTAAAAAAACGGGGCCCAAGAGCTAAGAGCTCGATCCTGCAGGCATAAATAAAAAATACAAAACAAAAAATACGCACACGCACTTTCACACTCTGATAAAACTGGAACGAGAATGGTGGGCTGAATGTATTTCTTGATTTCCAGAATGCTTTTGAATCAGTTCAGTACAAAAAGCTCCGGTACAAAGTTGAGAACAAAGCCGGTGATTTAGGGAAAGTGCTAGAGTGTATGAGGGAATGCCTTTCAGGAAGGAAACAAAGAGTAATGGTGAGAGAGGAAAAAATGTGTTTGGTGGGTGGACACAAGTGGAGTGCCACATGGCTCGGAACTCCAGCCCCACTGAATTCCAGATATATGCAAATGACAGGTGGATGATCAGAGATGTTAAGGAGGCGAAGGGCAGTACATTGTGGCCACCTCCTTGTGGCCACCTCCTTGTGGCCACCTCCTTGTGGCCACCTCCCGCCTCTGCACAAAAAACAAGAAGGAACTGAAGAAGATTAAAGAGAAGACGATCATCCAAAGGCACGTCGCTGCGACCTTAGACATTGGATCTGACCCGTTCCCGAGGGTCAAGTCCCCGTTCCAGTTCCCTTCTATAAGCCAGACGCCGACTATGACCGTACCAGCTCTACCAAACAGTGGCTCCTCCCAACAGATAGATCAGCCGGCCTCCACACTGGGGACCTAAGGACCAACCAGCACCCTCCACTCCAGCTCCCAACACTCCCACCATCACCATCTCAGCAGACACACCAGCAGACGTGCTGTCTACACATACTAACAGCACCACCAACGCTCCTGAAATAGCTTCTACCACTAATCCAAGACACCTGAGCCTACCTCAGGCTGCGAGAGGAAAGACAAAACCACCAATTACGTACGGATGTTACGGACTCCTCATATGAGGAAAATCTTAGTAGGAGCTCCCCTGCTGCAGCACAAATACGACATCTATTCGGTACAAGACCTCCTCACGGAGGCCATCTCGCCAAACTCCAACGACAGCGCGGCTCAGCCAAAGTCCAGAGGTCTGCACCAGTCCACCAGCTCCATAACTGGTACAGCCAGCCCTCCGAGGCTGAAATCTACCATGAAGACCCCCCATCCATCTCCCCAGATCTCCAGTATCAGCTATTAATACAGATAATGCCTCCAAGGAGCCTCCACTTACGGGCTCACCATAGCCTGTGCTACTTGGAACTTTTTATTCTCAACAGTGCATTGTGGCGGGGTGGTGGTGATGGTGGTGGTGGTGGTGGTGGTGGTTGGTATCAGCTTGGGGTGGCGGTGATGTCCGTGGAGCTGTGATTTGAAGCTCGGTTTCAGCGGCGTGAGTCCGGGTTCTTAGCAAGCTAATTGAACCCGGTTCGGCGCGTATACGAAGTAGTATCCGTTCGTCCTGAAGGTGTTACTCGAAGGGCAACTCCCCACTGCCAGATGACTCACAATATCGCGAGGTTCTAGCAGTAGATCGGCATAGCAAATCCTTCCAGGCAGGGTGACACAGGGCTGTAATCCTTCCTGGAATATCCCAACCTGGAGAGGAAGAAATTTTAGCAGAGTAGAGAAAGAGTGCTACAACCGACAATACTCATTACCTAAGTAGGTCCTCCAGCTTTCCCTGGTTATATTCAGAGTGGAAGTAAGGTTAGCGCACTAGGGTAATGAGTCTTTGCCAGCGATCTCACTGACAAAGCTGTGCATCTGCACGGTGAATATGTGGAGAGGAAGCGATATCGTTGCCTGGGAGGAAGCGTGTGCCAGTTTGCCTGGGTGCTGCCTTGTTCTGGCTGTGATAAGTGTGTGGCCCCAGACAGGGTTACCACTAGAGGGTGCTCGTGTGGCCCAACCAAGCAGCCCTGACCTCGTATGATAGCAACAGGTGCTACTTCCGTTCTGCATCTCTGCTACAGAGTCCATGACCATGATCGCTGTTTGGGTTGTGATGCCAAGAAAATCCAAAACGGGGGGTCCTCATAAAGCTGCGTGCGTGTGCGTGTAAGCTGACTCACGCGCGTGTCATGGGGTTGAGTGTGCGGGCGCGCGAAGCTGGATCAGTCGCCTTGTGATCGCCGCCATGGACGGGTGGCCCTGTGTCGCGCGCCGCCTCGACCCTTCCGCGCGTGGCGGACTCTCAATTAACCCGTCTTGCTAATTACCCTCACGTTTACTCCCGTCGTTCTTGAGAGGGACTCTTGAGTGCACGGAGCCTTCTGGCGTGCAAAACAACTCACAAACTATTGTTCTTTATCTACATAATTTGATTGTACACCGGAGAACGAGTGATATAGGAATTCAAATAGAGGGAAAGTACATTTTAATCGCAGTTATGGATGGTAACGCACTCTGTGACGAGCCTGAAGTGTCCACTTGGATGAGTGTCCGCTCTACTGAGGGCCTTGAGTTGTTACTTGAGTATGTCAACAGGTACTGAGGATAGCAAAGGTGAGATCATAGATCCTGGTGGTAATGTTTCTCTCTTTCTCTCTCTCTCTCTCTCTCTCTCTCTCTCTCTCTCTCTCTCTCTCTCTCTCTCTCTCTCTCTCTCTCTCTCTCTCTCTCTCTATTTCAATCGGGTTTAAAAATCTTAATGAATAAGTATTTGCATTTTATAAAGTTCAAAGGCTTTAATTTATAAAATGTTTGTGCTTTTATAATTGACTTGGCTGTCAAAAGTTAAATTCATTAATAATTTAATAAGAAAAATGAATAATAATAACCTAGCATTGATCATTTAATTATAAATTGAATACTGTCCATTTAAGAATGGCAAGGCCTATTCTTACATGATGAAAAAGTGGACTAAATTTAAATAGTTTACAATATATATAGACTTTGAGACATAGAAGACATGAGATATAACAAATATCATAAAGAAGTAAGCAATAAGATGCATTCAAATTGAAAAATAACTATTAAACTCTATACAATTACAGTGTCTAAGGCTTTCGGGTAACGTGGAAAAGTGCAGGCAGTCTAGCTGTCTTTTCACTCTTTTCTCTTTATATATTGTGTTACTCTGGTCAGTTTACTGAATCTTTTCTATGTATTCAACTTTTGCGATCTTTATTATTATCTTTAGAAATTTATAAATGTATGCATGTCAATTGGCTTTGGTCTGTAGTTAAGCGCCTCCTGCATATTTTTTTCTCTTATATATAGGCGCTAAATTGTCGGCTTTTAGGCTGCCTGACAACTCTCCACTGTCAGTCGATGTATTATATATATATATATATATATATATATATATATATATATATATATATATATATATATATATATATATATATATATATATATTGTTGGATGTATTTTGAATAATGCCCCTGCAGCTCTTCTTTGCACCTGTGGACAACTTCTGTTGTGTTCTATTGCCTTGGTTACAGCCAGCTTTACCATCCTGTGTTTTGCAACATTTATTGACACTTCTACTCAATATTTTGTATCTAGTGGTCATGTCTCCCTCATTTCTTCTCTCTTCCAGTTACGTGATGTTTAAATCTTTCAGCCTTTGCTCGAAATTCAACTCACTAAATTCTTTCCAGATTCGTTGTTTGTTTAATGAGATATAGTTTACATGTTGATAATGAATGTTCAAGAATATATCTGAGATGTGTAGTAGACAAAGACATGAACTATTCTTTGTTAAGATTTACGAAGACAGTTCTTATGTTGTTGTTGTTTAAGATTCAGTCACTCGGAACACAAGTTCCAAGTAGTACGGGCTATGGTGAGCCCGTTGTGGACCTTTTGACAGTTCTTATGTTTAACAACTTTGCATATGCTGCTGATGATGTGCAGATGAGGTTTGTGATGTTGCTGACACCGTCATTCCCTGTCTCCAGGATGGCTTCTCTCCCATCTACCAGCCACCATGTTCCTAGCACTTTGATTCATTACCTTGCACTTGCTTGAGTTAAACTCTTGTTGTCACTTCTTGGATAGGTCTTAAAGTTTCACCAGGCCAGCGTGCTGGTCTTGCAGTCTTGCACAGTTTTGTGTGTCCTGTTTTACGCAACATCAACATGCATTGAAAAAAAGAAGTCTGTTGACCAGACCGCATACTAGAAAGTGAAGGGACGACGACGTTTCGGTCCGTCCTGGGGCCAGATTCACGAAAGCACTTACGCATGCACTTACGAACGTGTACATCTTTCCTCAACCTTTTGACGGCTTTGGTTACATTTATTAAACAGTTTACAAGCATGAAAACTTCCCAATGAACTGTTGTTATTGTTATAAACAGCCTCCTGGTGCTTTGGAGCTCATTAACTGTTTAATAATTGAAAAACAAAGTCGCCAAAGATTGAGAATAGATGTACAGGTTCGTAAGTGCTTGCGTAACTGCTTTCGTGAATCTGGCTCCTGGATCATTCTCAAGTCGATGAGAAATCATCGTCGATGAGTCGATCATCGACTTGAGAATATTCCAGGACGGACTGAAACGTCGTCGTCCCTTCACTTTCTAGTGTGTAATCTGGTCAACAGACTTCAGCCACGTTATTGTGACTCATCGCCTGCAAGAAGTCTGTTCTCTGTGTGTGAGATTTTTCAAACAAATGAAAACAAGAAAGACTCTAGTACTGACCTCTGTACAAGTGTTTTTGCCTCTGCTTCTCACAACTGGAAAAACGAAGCTTCGAAGCTTGCTTCGAAGTTGAATCTTCGAAGCAAGATACAAATACACACAAACAATTAGATATTATAAAGAAGATAAGTTATTGCATATTAATGTCGAAGATATCCAGAAGGATATCAACAGAGGATAACGAGTCTGCAGTAATACAGACTCATTAAGAGGTAAGATAATTATCAGAATGTACTAAGGAGTACTAAGGATGTACTAAGGATAGGACGAAGGATGGAAATGGTGTCCAACCACTTGGACGGTCGAGGATTAAACGCCGACCTGCACAAAGCGAGGCCATCGCTCTACCGTTCATGCCAATACAAAGAAAGAAATAACCACAATATGACACGGAAGATTTTCTCGTTAATCAAATCATCATAATAACAACAGCCATTACGGAACAATGCAATATCCGCGTGTGTGTAGCAGACGTTGTCTAGCAGGCAGATAGACAGGAAGATCAACAGGGAGGCAGATAGACAGGAAGGCAGATAGACAGGAAGATCAACAGGAAGGCAGATAGACAGGAAGATCAACAGGGAGGCAGATAGACAGAAAAATCAACAAGAAGGCAGATAGACAGGAAGATCAACAGGAAGGCAGGTAGACAGGAAGATCAACAGGAGGGCAAATAGACAGGAAGATGAACAGGAAGGCAGATAGACAGGAAGATCAACAGGAAGGCAGATAGACAGGAAAATCAACAGGAAGACACCCATGCAGGAAGATCAACAGAAAAACAGAAAGAGCGACAGGAAGGGAAGGAGATAGGAGAGAGATCTCGTATTTCAAACCTATTACTGATGTCGAAAAAGTCGTCGTCGTTGTTGTAAGAGATAAAAATACCAACCCCACACGCCGAGTAAAACAAGAGAAGTGCGGATATGTTGGCTCCACTGCCCCCCACCCCACCTAACCTCTTGGCAATATCTTTCAGGGGAATGCTATCCTAATTGACTATTATGAAGGTATACGATACTCGTGCTCCTTGTGGTCTTATCACGTGCCCTCCACGAACATTCATCTCCCTGGTGTCCACCACCATCATTCACCCAAGTGATAAGGGGGCAGCAATACACTGAAAAAAGAATTGATATCCTGTTGCCCAGACCACATACTAGAAAATGAAGGGACGACGACGACGTTTCGGTTCGTCCTGGACCATTCTCAAGTCGATTGTGTACTTGAGAATGATTATTTGTATTGCTTATCGTTTCTAATTGATAAATATATATATATATATATATATATATATATATATATATATATATATATATATATATATATATATATATATATATATACATTATTTATAATCTTGGAATTACATAGGATCGTGATTATTTCTTAGAGATGTGAAGGGCATTGAGAGTAAGGGTGTAATAGGAGAGAGGAGAATGCAATGTGAGAAAGAAAGGCGTGAAGGAGAGCCTAAGGGCAGACTTGGTGAGGCGGAGGTGGGAGAGAGAGAGGCGGAGGTGGGAGAGAGAGAGGCGGAGGTGGGAGAGAGAGAGGCGGAGGTGGGAGAGAGAGAGGCGGAGGTGGGAGAGAGAGAGGCGGAGGTGGGAGAGAGAGAGGCGGAGGAGAGGCGGAGAGAGAGAGAGGCGGAGGTGGGAGAGAGAGAGGCGGAGGTGGGAGAGAGAGAGGCGGAGGTGGGAGAGAGAGAGGCGGAAGAGAACAAAAAGAAAGGGGGGGGGGGTAATAAAGAGGGATAGAGGATGGGACGTCTATTCCTAACGTCCCTACCCGGGAGGAGGAGAGGCCAGAACATGAAACAAATGGACTTAGCTATTCACTCTTGATAATTACTTGAGACCAGTTAATTTATAATTATTAATCTCTTCAGCTTGTTGATGGTTAATTCCCAGATCTTAATTATTCTGGCACTTAAAGGATAACGCAAAAACCATCAAGGGAACTCCAGACGATTTTCTCAGAATAAATAAAGGGAAAATTTAACTATAAAAGATCAAATAACACTCCAGCACAGAGTTTAGTTATAAAATAAATAATATCCCATTCTAAATCCCTAACGAAGCAAGAGGTCACACGAGTGATCCATCAACAAACAGAACTCAGAAATAAATACTTTGAACCTTCTGCAACAAGGAAGAGAGAAAAGAACAAACCATCACCACTACCAAAGAGCCAAAGCTCAACCCCCGCAAGCACAATTAGGTGAGTACTATAGAGCACACGAGAACAAGGAGTCAACTCCTTGCCCTTAGGCACTCCCCACGCTGCTACCGTCCATAACCACACTAACTACTATTGCAACTCTAACAGCAAAGTTACCATGAGGCTCCAACTCTTGGCCACAAGCTCTTGGGTACCATGGGAAACAGCCTAGTGGTACTGGACACTTTATCACTAACAGATACAGAGATCTTAACCCAACACTTGAGGAGAGAGAGAGAGAGAGAGAGAGAAGGGAGAGTCTTTAAGGAGGTCGAGAGAGACCTAGAGGGAGGGAGATAAGAGGCTTGAGTGATGAGAGAGGGTTGTCTACAGCTACTCTTACTAGATAACTTGACCTGACCTAGTAGTAGTACCAGACATCCATCAGTCTCAGGAGACTATATGGAGTTGCGCTTTGGTTGTCGGTCTGGAGTGGCCTCTCCAGGGCGCAAAGCCAGGGTAGGTTGATACTGTGGGAGGGGGGAGGGAGAAGCTGTCACCCATGCAGCAGGTACACAGCCCCCTTGACCTGACCTGATGGACAGATAAGGCCACATACCAGTCAGTTGAGTCGTGTTTAATCCTTGTCAAACACAGCTGCGTGACACCGTCTTGTTGAAATGGGACACGATTGGTG